CTCTACAAGACAGAATGAAATCCCATATCTAACTTACAGAAGGGATGAATTCAATCAGGACAAAGCCCTGAGAGAAGTTTGCATGAGCTTTTAAAGATACAGCAACTCTTACAGAACAGCCGTACTAATAGCTATTCTGCTGTGCAGCAAAAAGGACAGAAATTCAGAATTTTCAGGTCACAGAGCCCCAGCTTTTGACCAGAACAGTTCTTTGTAGCTTCCTCTGGAAGCACCCCAAGGCTTTCAAACTCAGCACCGTGCTGTCAGAGTACTGGAAGTTCATCTGTAGCACATCTGAAGTAGACACATCCACTGTCATACGACAACAATGTCCGAAAGACACCCAAAAGCAGTGGAGCAGACCACATGACACAAGAGCACTATTTTCCAGTGCTCTCCTGAATACTTGGATGAGGGCACACAGTAAGATTTTTACTGGGTGGTAAATCAGACAGTTTTTGGTTAGACTGAAAAGAGATCACAAGAAAGCCAGCAATGCCACATCAGCATGCTAGAATCAAGCGGGAAGAACTGAATAGGAAGAATGCTTGTGGTTGAAAAATAGAGCATGTCCTAGACATGCTCTGGTTTACAGATACTTGAACTCTAAGTTTAAACCAAAGTATAGTTCTAAAACCGTTAGAAAAAGGATGAGAGGTCTGGAATGCCCTAATCTCAGCAACACAGAGCAAACTACACAAACCTGCCAACTGCTCTGGACGTGTTCTAAAGCACAGAGAGAAAGCATCTCTCTCAAACATTTGACAGAAACCGTTAGTCACAATAAGATTACAGTAGGATATGCTGACCTGTGTTTTGAAAAACTTGAGCACACAACTCATGCACTAAGAACTATACTGGATAGCCTAATTAAAATTTGAAAAGCACTTGCAATGCAAAGTTCTGTGCATATCAAAAAGTAATGCTGGTATACTAATAAATAAAGATATGCAAGGGTAGAACAGCAGCTTGTGAATAAACTGTTTAATAAAAAAGAATCCTTAAAACTTGTACATCAAAGTAATCTTTGACAATCTCTCAAGAATTTAGCAGAGAAACAGATGATTCAGATGGTACTGAGAGTCTGCAAGACTGAAGACTTGAGCTTAGCATTTTTCAATGAATTAGTATATAATCTTCTGAAAAGAAAAGGCATAGACTTCTGCCGAAATTCAGTTGCACATCCAGACAGAATAAAATCATGCCAGCAGCACTTTCTCCAATTTTGATTCTCTTCATTTTGAATTCCACAAAGTTGTGCATTCCATTTAGGGATTAAAAAAATCTTCACAGTGTAATCCAATTCTTACTGTTTAGACTGTAAAATCTAAAAAAAATAAGGTAAAAAAAAAATCCCTAAATGAAGTTATATTTCCTCTATAGGCTTTTGCAATACAGCTTTCATTGTTTTTACACAACTCACTTGTATCGTCAATCTTCACGGCTCAATAAATAGATTAAAATCACTGTTTGCAGAAGTCAATTGAAAAAATGTGTCTTGATTGAGATGGATCACAGAAAAGGGCAGCTGGGTGTTCTAACAGCTTCACAACTCCAGCTGCCATCCTCACACCAATAGATCACCCACAGGCTTACAACTGTTCATATTTTAAAAAGGAGATTATAGGGTTTCCTGTCTTTTCTTTCTTCCTTTGACTTTTCACTTGCATTGATACAGAAAGAGCAAGAAAGAAATAAAATGCAGCATTAGGTCCTTATTCTTATATTAGTTTCAGAGGAGGCAACACCTTCACACCCTGCCCAAATGAAGAAAGACAGCACACATGAAGTGAAACTCCTAATCTGACTTCAGTCCTCCACGTGTTCTATTCCCTTCCCTTTGTTATCCTTCTAAAAGATTTATTTCTGGAAATTAATGACATAAAACCAGCATAGTTCTGTACTGCATAACTTCACACTACCACTAGGTAAGCAAGAGCTCTCTGAATAGAGTTGTTGCCACCCCATCTTCACCCTGAAAACAAAGCAAGACAAAGCATCACGCTTCACCCCCCAGGAAAATAAGGCCCCAAATCCTTCTTAGGCATGGAGAAGGGATGAAAACAACATCTTACAGAAGAAAAACACCACTACAGAACCCTGAGCAGCACCAGCTTCACACGGATCTACAGAAGATATCCCAACAGAAAACACGCTGGCAGATTCTGTAGTATTTTTCAGTTCACCCAGGAAAACTCTGACAGCGTGCAAGTATAACACACTTGTTTTTTGGCGTTCATCCTCTTCCTTCTATCAGTGTCTGAGACGTATTAAAGCCAATCATTAAACCACCCCACGCCCTGGGCGGGAGGAGGAGGAAACCCGAATCAAGAAAAACCTTCAAATACCAACCTCAGCGCTTCTCACTTATAATAAATCACACGCCCCGACCTGGCTCACTGTCCCGGACCGGCAGGCTGGTCCTACACACCGCCTCCTCCTCCACGCCTGCTGTTACCCCCCGGGAGCACCAAAGTCAGGCGGCGGTGGCACAGCCCACGCACGCTGCTACATCTCCTCGCGGCCACGGGAAGACCGCGCACACTCACGAGTGCACCCCGGGACCTTCCCCTCGCTGTGCCACCCCTGGAAAACACCTTCGGACATTCGGTTAAGTGACGCGGTCGATTTCCCGAGGACAAATAATCCGTATTACAGGAGCGCTGCCCGCAGAAGCCCGATCCCAGCCGACAGCCGCGGCACGAGGTGCGGCAGGCAGCGACACCTGCGAGGAAGCGCCCACCCCCCCCCCCATCCCGCCGCCAGCAGACAGCAGCGCGGCCCGCTCCGTCCCGCCAACATGTCCGCTTTCTGTCACACAACTTTGCCGCCCGGTCGCCCCTCCAAACAGCGACAGAAAAGCTTCCCCTTTCGCCTTCCTACCGAAAAAGATAAAGGGGATTAGGCGGGCGTTATTTCCACTGACCTACATACCCCCCTCGGCGGCCACGAGGCGGACGGCAGCCTCCCGGCCCGAGCACCCCGTTCCCGCTCGCAGCCCGCCGGGCCCCGGCAGGCGGCTGCTCCCCGCCGCCCTCTCCAGCCCCTCCCGGCCTCGGCGGGGCCGGCCCCTACCTGCCACGGCGGCGGAAAGTTTCCCCCGGCAGCGGCTCGGCGGACTCCGCTCGGTCTCCGCCACGGCGGCCGTCAGGGACGCGGCCGCACAGGTAAGCCGCCGTCAGCGGCGGGACGGCCGGCGCTAATCCCTCACGGGGGAGGGCGGGAAACGGCGATCCCCTCGCGCCCGCCCTCACCGAGCGCCCCGCAGGCTCCGTCCCCTCGGGCCGAGCATCTCCCTCCGCGGCGGGCAGGCGGCCCCGACCTGGCACCGGGAGCCGGGCCGCTGAGTCAGAGCGGCGGGGAGGAGCCGCGACCTGCCGAGGTGAGGGCGGCCCTGCCGCGGTGCCCCCTGGCGGGAGGGCGGGAGGCCGAGCCGCGGAGAGCGAGCGGCCCAGCATGGGTGACTGCGACTCTTAGGCGTCCGGCGGCGAGCTAAAACTTTCCTTCTCAGCTTCAGCAGGTGAAAGGTCTGGCTTTCCCCAGTAATTCTGCACTGGGGACATAGCAGAATACTTTTATCTTTTGCCTCATAAGAAGTACTGGAGTCACAACAGAGTACTTCTATCTTTTGCCTCATCTTCCACACTTACTGTACCCTCTATGGCCTAAATAGGAAACAAATCTTCCCAACTGGATGAAAGGGAATGAAAGGCCTTAGTGATGAAGCTGATGGTGAAAATCCTAGATAACACTGAGTGTGCCCAAGGGGATATTAATTCATGAGGCCTTGAAAGAGAATATGTATGCCAGTGTACTGCATACACACATGTTAACTGTTGAAACATAGAACGTGAACTCTAAGAGGGCACACTTAATTGAAAAGTTGCTTACTTTGGTTGTTGCTTACTTATCTTCAAGGATACAAGAACACCACTTTCTAGCACCACATTGGAAGTAGAGTTTCCTTCCTGGATTTCAGATGACACAACCATGAATGTTCCTCTGTCTTCACAAAAACCTGGCAGTCCTCAGGGTATGTTTCTACTGGTGGCAGTGTGAGAGCAGCTACCTGTCAGGTCCTCTTCCCTCCATGAGTCACCCACAGGTCTGCAGGGGCCACAGTCTGTGTGAGGCTGCAGGGAGCTGTGAGGTTGCCCTGGAGCCTCTGTGAGGGTTACTCACATAACCACTTGACTAATGTGAGCAAGTGCTTAGCTTCACACTGTTGATTTCTCCTGCATGGAAGGACACCAAACCAGAAGTACCAACAGCCATTTTAAATCTGGTCTATAACACTTAAGAATTAGAAAGTGTAGAAAGTTAGAAGAGTTTGGGCTGGAAGGGACCTCAAAACTCCCCTAGTTCCAATCGCCAGCTATGGGCAGGACACCCATTAACTCAGGCTGCCAGAGTCCCATCCAACCTGACCTTGATCACCTCCAGGGATGGGGCACCCACAAATCATCTGTGCAGCAATTAATTCCTAATTAGTAAGTATTTATTCTCTAATGATGCAAGCTATAGCTGCTGTATCTCTGTATTTTCACATAACTGTGTTAGACTGCTGTGGTGAATACTTAAACATGGTTTGCTGTGTCTTTTTTTGTTAATGTCTTCAAATGAATTAATTAGACTGTCAGGGTACTGATTGTGATTTTGCTAATGAGTCAAAATAGGAATAGACACTGGCCTAATAGAGTAACAGCTCATTTAAATAAAGATATAATATAATTTACCAACTGTAATTGTATTCTGTGTGAAGGAACTGTCCTCTCTAAATGCTTTGTACAATTAAAGATTTACTAATGTTGCTAACTATACAGATATTCACAAACTAATTAATACCTATTAGAGTTAAAATTGCTGTTACCCAAAAATCTAGTCAGAAATCTAACTATACTGATTTGAATCTAGTCCTTCCACTTTGAAAAAGAAAAATTGTTGGATATTTTAACTAATATCTAAGCTTTTGGAGAATGAGAGAATCAGCTGTTCCTAGATAACACAATTCTCCCTCTTTATTATTTTCAGAATATTAATTCAACATCATTATCAATTGCAAATGCATTAGTCGAAGTGCTCATCAGAGCTACCAACATATTCTCCTCCCCATAGTGGAGATCATTAAACATTGCCCATGCCTTTGGTTGTTTATGTCTCTGCTGGAGACATATTCCTTCAGTATACTACATCCAGTATTTCTTAACATTCATTCAGGAATGAGCTTTCATGTCCTGCCACAGATCCTTGGTATGCTCACCTGTAGGGGGCATTCAGCATCTGCTAGAATGGCAGAACAGAAGCCAGCTTGGAAATTCAGTAAAAGTGCCTAGATGACTCTAGCAGAAATTGAGGATGCTTCCACTTAAGTTGCTCTATGTCAGGAGCTGCCAGCCAACACACAAGCACTCTCATCATAAGCAGGTCATTAAGGAGCAAGCCTCTACCACAGTGTCTGTTGCAGATAGTGATAAAATCTGTTTCACTTCTTTCTAATGTTGCTTTAAGCATTAAAAAAACACTCCACAATTATCTTTTTTCCTGTAATAGTTAAAAGGAATACAAGATAAGTGTCCTTTTATATTGATATCTCTTAATCATTAGATAGGCTGTCCTATCACACAGTTAGAAGAGATGGAAACGTAAAGATGGCTTATCACAAGCTCCCACTAATCCTTCTAGAAACCCTCTTTGTTCTGAAGGCATACTAAGCTACCAAGAAACACTTGAAGATAAAACAGTACGAGGCACAACACTCAAACTCAATCACAGCCAGGACAGTTGCAAGTAGTAAAGGAAGCATGAAGTTTTAAGCAAAGAGCATATGCCAGTCTTGAATGTTGTATCATCAGGATAAGTATGCAGCATCTGTAGTTATGTTTAAGCAATAGTTACAAATGCAATTGTATGTATAGTATCTAGAGAATATAGGAACACGTGTGCTTACTTTTGGTCACCAGTTTTACTCCATGGAAAGCTTATGCTTTCTGAAGAAATGCCACCAAGTTTCTCCTCTCTGTAAAAAAAAAAAAGCTTCTAGTTTTAACTATCGCAGATAAAAATGACAAAGTAAATTTACACATGTAAAGCAGCTTTTAGAAAAGCTTCTAATGTAAGCTTCAATACCATCTTTTTCATGTTACGTATTTTTAACCTGTAAAAGCATTTGAACATTAGGAAGTATGCTTTGTGCAAAAAAATTATATTCCCCAAATACAAGTTTCAGGTGTACTATCTATAAAAAAATCGATAGGATTAGTTTCTCTGAAAGAAAAAAGTTTGTCAACACATCAGAATGCTAGAAGTTAGGTGACCCATGAGCTACCTACTTGAAGTTGTAGGTTTCTTAAATGTAATCTGGATGTCATCTTAGAAAAACAAACCCGTGCTATACTTGCTTCTTAGTGAGAAGTCTGATTTCCAGGAAAGGCACTAGAGAAAGAAAATCTTCTGTTTAAGAACGAAGAAATACAGGCATGTGTTCCATGTTGTGTTCTATACTATGCCACAGCCCTCCTTTCACATCTTCTTTGACTAGTAGGAAAAAAAACATTTTAAGTCTTCAGGAAGATGCTTAAGAATTTTCACCATTCACACCCTGAAATTTCCATACCAAGAGAGAAAAGCAGTATACTTTAAGCACTTGGGAAAAAAAATAACAGTCTCATTCTACCTAAGTCATATTTCATCTGAATATAAATCATATTTCTCTTAATATTCAAAATTATCCCAAATTTTTTCTTCTACACAGTTTTACAGGTATTTTGCTTCAGCACAGTTTAAAGTAAACTATTCAAAAATAATTACTATATACAAGATGAATATTTTAATTACCTGAATAGAACACAGATGCTTTGCTACACTAGTAACTAATAAAAAAACACAGATTGGAAGTTAACGTTCTTTCAGTGTTTAAGCAACATTTCTGACTTATCAACACAGAAAACTTATTGATTGCCAAGAAAAGATATGCATCCTGAAGTATGTTCTTTTATGAACAGTAACAACTTGTAAGATCCCATAACCTAATTGGTGTTCATAGATTTACTTGGAAAAAAGGAGGCTTTTTAAAATGAAAGAAAGTTTGTTAAATAAGCTTAATACTGCCATTTAGTTATAGTCACCTTTGACCACTCTCAAGTAGTGATTTATGAGACAAAACAAATTCACTGTACTAGAAACAAAATTGTTTCCTTTTTAAAACTAGATTGGGTTGTCTATGTTAAGAGCTTGACACTAATTCTGAGAATAAGTTAATTCAGCCTGGTCCAGAAGTCAGTCCACTGGCTGTCTACAATTTCTCATCTGATTTAAAATAGCACAGGTCAGCACTGCTATTAAAAAAAAATAATCTTGCCTTCCTCCACTGATTTTGCCCCTTCATAATCTTTCATCTTTTTTGGTTCAAAGAAAATTCACGCAGCTATTTGCTAAGCGAGACCAGTTCCCTGATTCAGATTAAAATTTACCCCCTTTTTTCTGCTATTACCTATAACGTGCATCAAGTCTCTGATACGGTTCATCTGCCACAGTATAAATCCTTACTTTGGCACAAAAGGAACCAGCATGACAGCAAGAGTCAACTGGGACTACATACATTCACATGAAGACATATGAAACAACATATGATTCCAAAATCCTCCTTGTGTTTTTTGTCTATGGTTTTTGAGTGTATGGGTCTAAAGTACATTCTATACTGTCCTGTGAGAACTTGCCTTTCTTCTATTCAGATTCTTTTTTTTCCTCTTTATGCTTTGAAAACAGAGCTGAATTCTGGGTTTATGCTATAAATCCTGCAAGTTGTCTACTTGAAAAGGATGAGGACAACTGATAATTTAAAATATTCTTCTCCAAAGCAAAGACGACCTCCTTAACCACAAAAACAAACAAGTGCGACGCACTTCTTTTTAGGCTGTTACCATTGCCAGGCAGTTGCTAGACATAGGACTTCATTCTCTCATAGATTTCTTTTGGATTTACTAATCCATCCCTGCCAACAAAGATTTATGTCTGGCCCCTAGCAAACTGCTTACCTTAAGAATACTGCTAAAGGATATTTAACAAAAATATATCCCTAGGGAAAGAGCAGCAGTAGATTCCTTTAGAGGCTTAGTCCTGCTTTTCTAATTACAAATTATACTCCAAGGTCCAGTGAGAGTTTTGACCCAGAACTCCATAATATGTTTCTTAATGACAATTAGGTTATCAGCATTGCTCTGCTTTTCTGGCTATACAGACTATGATTAGCTAGCATGGTATTTAAGCAAACAGTGCCAAAGCTACTCTTCCATAGCCTATAACCTGCCCATATGTCACATCATAGCCAATAGTGCAAAAACATCCCAGTGTTCTACCCCTGCCCCCTGGAAAGCCACTTTAGACAAAATAGATTTAATCTTTCAATTATCTCAGATACTAAAAAAAAAGAAGTTGCCATTGATCAGTAAGGAGAATTTTTGTAGACCTCAGTAGCAACATTGAGCAAACGTTCAGACAGAAGGCCTACTCACAGCTAATTACAACGTGATCCATGTAAATGCCTTAGAAGATTACCCACTCATTAATACCTTCTTTCATCACTATTTTGCCACACCAAAGTTATGTGTCTGTATGCTTTCATTAAACCCTCTACTTTGTCTTTTTTGGTACGCTAAACGCAGAGCTACTGGTAACAGGAAATAGGTTGCCTGCAATACAGGAAAATCCTGTAGTCTGTGTTGCATTAAGCCTATTTGCCAGATGTGAAATGGGACATTCTGGATTTTTTCCTGAAGTAACATGACTGTGCACCTGCAGGAAATTGGTAGGAGGGAAATAAAGAAATGGTGATACTTTATGTGCTGCTGGCCTCTTAGTCATACTACTGTCCATCTGCATACATGAGAAGAACAGTCAGCAAAAGATTTAATAAGTCTTCAAGTCTTTCTTACAACACAATGAAATATTACCAAGTAGCATTTTTAAGCAAGTGTATGAATACCAATTTCCTGTATGAATGAACCAGTACTAGTCAGGAGATGAGATATTCAGCTGCTAGGCAAGAAATCTATATGAATCAGTAATTTGTAGTAGCAGTTTATTTCTCTGCATTTGCTTTTTTTGTTCCTTGCTCACATATAGAATTAAGTGGTGTTTTTTTTATCATTGTCAGATACTTTATGAAATCAGGTGTTACTTCCTGCAGAGAAAGTAAGAGAGAAGCAACACTTGCAAAGATGGAGAGCTTTACATTGTATTTCCTGCTTGTTAAGTATTAAAAAAATTGTGTTTTTTTTTTTCTGGATAATGTGCTTTTTAATGTTCTGCACTGTAGCTTACAGTGTCTTCAGAGTTTATGGCTAAGTCATTTAAGTATGAAATAAGTTGAGATAAATGTTAGCTCTGTTTATCAAAAAATTCTTCTAGATTTTTGCCAATATGCATACATGCCAAATAAATAACGCAAAAGAAATATTGTAATTAACCTTGTACAAATGTATCCAACAAAGTCACAGGACAGTTAGAGACTCATAGTTAGAAAGAGACTGACAACTGTCAAGACCAAACCTCTACTGTGACTCCTAGTAGGGTCACAGACACAAAGTGCCAGATTTTCGAGGTCCTTCCCTACTCTAAGATACTCAACATGAAGTTTCATTGAAATCTAAACCATTTGCTGAATTGGAGGTCATGGGCCATTTGAACAATTGGAATCAAGAATTATCATTAGGAGGTACCTAAATTCTTTGAAAGAAAATCCTATGGGGATTTGTAACACTATAACACAATGGAAAGCACCGCAGTAATAGGAGGGGGGCAAAGTCCCAAGCTTCAGCAAGAGAAGATAAGCTCAAGTACAGCAGCCATACACACAGGAAGAAAAAAGTGCTTACCCTTAAAAAGCCTAGAGTAGCCAACAAAGTATTGCCTCCACTACCAGCCCTTGAATAAGGCCTGGGAAAGAATGGAGCCAGAATCTACCCCTTCTGGTCATTCAGATACATTGCATGCACCTGAGCTCCCCTGGGTTGGCCCTGCCTTCCCACCTTGTGCTCAATTCAAGCTGTGACTCAGTATTTCTGCTACAGGATATATATTTTTTTAATATCTGGCAGAAGAGAACTATTCATAACCCTTCACATTTGGAAGTCATTGGCTAGAATGCATCAAGACGATTAGAATCAAAGACTGGGCTCCTCCTCTTTGAGAAATAAATTCCTACCTGCCAGCTGGTACGATCATGCTTCTCTTGCTTGCTCTTCCCAGCCTTGTGCTCTTTGCATCCTAGTACCCCAGTTTCAAAGGAGTCCCACTTCAAAGATTTCCTACAAAGTAGGAAATCATAGTTGAGAAATACTGGAAGAAGAAAAGTGACTTAGAATTTCTTTGGCTAAGGAGAAACTAAACTGGGCTCTTGTATTTTGTAGAAAAAGTATTAGCATACTATTTCTAGGACCAACAACAGCTCCTCAGTAGATACCTTTCTAGTGAGAGAAAGGTCTCTTCTTTTTGTACTACAAGCAGTTTCTAGACTGGAGGTGTGAATTAAACAGGAATTTTGTTTTGAAACTCTAACTCAGGACAGGGCCACATTTTGAAGGACAGCTTGTATATAGTTGCTATTTACCTGTATAAAGAAAGAGAAAACAATACATAGTTAGTATCTCTATAATCAATGAATACACAGATGTTATAATTATGAAATACACCAGAGAATTTAGCTAAGCAAGTTATTATACTACAAGAGAAAAATAGAGTGCTTACTTGCACCTTGAGCTCACTATAGAGCTCCAAAGGAGAGATCTACCCACTGGGAATCAGCTCTTAAATGGGTCCAGGAGATGTGGAGCCAGGCTCCACCCCTTCCAGGGCAGGTGAATTGCCTTCACCTGTACTCCAAGGACTGACTCATTGCTCACCTCAGGTGATCAATCAGAGGTTCAGGCCGTAATTTAGCAGTTCCCAGACAGTATCCTACATAGATTGTACTATATAGTTGTTACAGTTGGTGTTATAGCTAGAAAGATCATCATAGTGAGAATGAGGAAAGAAACAAACAGGACAGGAATGCTCACTTGTATCCAAAGAACCAACATTCACAGGAAAGACTCCACAGAGGAGGAACCTCCAGAAAGAGATCCTTCCTTAGTGGCAGTCAGCCCTTAAATGGAGTCTAGAAGGAATTGCCTTCACCTGTGCTCCCATGGTTCTCAGTGCTTGCCTTCTCAACCACTCATCGATCAATGAGTGGTTCAGGCCATGACTCAACTGTTTCCATTCAATGGTGTAATGTTGCTCATTTTGAACTTGGACTGTTAAAAGTCCAGGAATATGCCCTAACTGTATAATGTGAGCTGTCCGCATTTGTCTCTGAGAATCAGTTAACAGTGTGCACACCAAAGAACTTATGTGTTTACAAAATGTAAGCTGTCAAATACTATTGTCTTGAGATTCTTTTTCTTAAGACAGTATTTTTTCTAGTTTAAGCTTGACACCTGTGTTTCAAAAACAGTTATTTATAAGGATTCTGTCCTTTAACATATAGCCACTGGAACCGTAATCCTGACAGAATGCAATGTTTTTTCATTTGTTAGCCCTGGCAGCTGTGCATTAGTAAAATAAATAAATTAAATAAACAGCAACATCTGTTCCAGTCACTAGAGGCTTGTTGCTGGAGTTATCTGCATTGAATGGGAGGGGAAGCTCTAGTAGAGGAATTCTACTTTCCACAGTAGAGATTAGCGGAATAAATCATAGAATCAAAGAATAACTCAAGTTGGAAGGAACCCACAGGAATCATGCAATCCAACTCCTGGATTCTAAACGTTAAGCCACAGAGCATTGTCTAGACACTTCTTGAACTCTGGTTGTTTGCATTTGTGACCACTGTCCTGCAGACCCTGTTGTAGTGCCTGACCATGCTCTGGTGAAGAACCTTTTCCTAGCACCCTGATGTACTCCATGCTGATCCCTTGGGTTCTGTCACTTCTGTGATCCATGGGAATGGCAGCTGTCAAGGTACACAATGCTTTTTTCCTTAATTTTGGTCAGTAGAGTCTATGGCAATGTTATTCCCATGAGACAAGGATTAAAGAGCAGTCAATGAAGTGATCTGATTACAGGTTTAAAGCCATAGTAGACAGGAGGTACATCTAGTGGGAGGCATGTTGTATGAGAACTGCTGAATCACAGCCTGAACCTCTGATTGATCACCTGAGGCGAGCCATGAGTCAGCCATGGGAGCACAGGTGAAGGCAATTCACCTGTGCTGCAGGTAGGGTGGAGCCCTGGCTCCACCTCTTCTAGACCCATTTAAGAGCTGACTACAAGGGGGGAAGGATTCCTTTTGGAATTTTACAGTGAGCTCAGGATGAGGGTAAGTCCTCTATCTATTCTTTTTGGTGTAATAACCTTAGTGTTATTTTAAGTTTAGCTGACTTTTCTTGTCTATTTCTTAATTATAACATCTATTTACTCATTGATTATAGACATTGAGAGTAGCTGAGGCCTAGAGAGAGATGTCAGTGTGTCTTGCTAGATTTGTAGTCATTGCAACATGGTGGTTATGAGTCAAAAGCTCAAAAGACCTCAAAAGAAAGTAAAGAAAATAAAGTACAAGTCTTGTGGTTATAACTTATATTTTTGAAAGTATTGCTGGTACTACTTCTTGCTCAGAACGTTTCTGAACTGCTTATTGCTGGAGTTAGAGGTTAAGTACCTAATTTCCATTTTCCTCCCAGAAGTATACCTCATTAGCTTTTGCAGAAGAGGAGATACTGAGCTGGCCTGACCCATCTGTGTGCGCTACTAAAGAGGATTTGTCTTCCATCCTTTTTTTCAGTTGAAATCATGGAAGTATCCACAGGCTAAGTGGTAGTGACACAGAAGTTGAAGGAAAGATGTTGAGTGTGTATTGATATCTTGGAGGAAGTAGAAGAGGTTGGAGGTTCCCATGTTCATTTCCATCCTTTGAGGACATTAATTTAATGTAAGTAGCAGATACAGAAGAGAAAGGAGCGGAGTATGGACTACTGAGAATAATTCTTATATCTCTTGTAAGATTTACATTGATCATTTCTCTCTACTTCAAGCACAGAATGTCAGTCAAATAATTCAGATGGATTTGAGGGGATGGTGGTTATGTAGTAATTTGAAGTAACATCGGTATGCCAGTAAAGGGTTCTTCAAATTCGTGCGAGAGTGTTTTTCAGATTTAAAACTATATCTCAATCTGATATGTAACTTTCAGGCTTACTGCAGTAACACATGAAGGAGCAGTGCAACTTATGCCTGATTATTGATGGGCTGCTGTTTCTTTCTCAGCTTTTCTCAATTTTGTAGTAGTTCTAGCCTGCAAAGAACAACAGCAACATGTGCCCATCACAGGCACAGAAACCAGGAATTGCAGCACGAAGATATTTATTGTGTAATAACCAAATTTGGTAATTGCAGTTATTTGAAGTATAACTATATATGGTTCACATCGAATAATTATGTTTTTAAACACAATGAGCAATGTAATTTAGTTAGTTCTGGGAACTAACCTCTGAAAAAGTTGCTGTGGCTAATGCTTTTTTCATACTGATTTTATGCTAGTACAACTTCACCAGATTTAATGGAATTAATCCCAATTTTCATTTACATAAATGAAAAGGAACCTCAGCCTCAGTGCTACTTTACATACTGTTTAATGTGTGCTTGAAGCTGCTAACCCCAGTTAATTCTACATAAAATTAAATTTTAATACAGAGTGATTTAATTGTTCTGATTTCACACATAAACTGCTGTGGCAAACAACAGAACAAACAATGATATGCTGCTGTTTGGCCTTTTAGATATGCAGCACTGTTTGAGCGTTCAGAGGCTTTTCGGCTGTGTTTTTATCAATGAGAAGTCTGTGAAATTGCTTGATTGAAAACTAGCTCCTATTTATGTAGGTCTGTCTGTTAGCTTCCATAGAGGTAGAGCTAACTGCCTGTATCAAAGGAAAGAGAAAGCATTTGAATTTTAAGATATAAACTAAGCCTTAGTTTCTTGCTTTTTGATCAGTACCGTTTTAGCAGGCATGTGATCTGACCCCCTCTGTCAACTAATTATCAGTCTCTCTGCCTCCCCTTACTAGTTGACTTTTATCAACACCAGATATTTCTTCTTCGTCATCTTCTATTTTTTTCTCTAGGGAATATTCGTGCCTCATTCATTCTTCTCTGATGTTTAGAAACCGCACCGCAAAGTTTAAGCTATTAAGAAATAACCTTTTGGAACATCAAGTACATCGGGTTTGCTTGTTGGTGTGGTTTTTGTTTTTGGTTTTTTGTTACTAGGCTGCCACTCCATGGCCGTATGTATAAACTACAGCTTAGCTCCACTGACGTGAGCTATACTGAAGGGAATTCTGTGAATGTATGATAGAAAATCTGGGATTTCTGTCTGGATTTACTCCGGAGAGAGTATTGTTACCCTAGAGAGGACAAAGTAAAAGGCTACCATTTTATCTGTAGGCACCAATGAACCTGATATTAAGTATGTTATGAACTATCTTTTTTTTATCATCAGTACTGTGTGTTCTCTGGTACCTAACATGTAATTTACCACTATGCTGCTTGCCCCAACTGTTAGGGGTATTTGCTAAAATAATGTTGTTTTGAGTTGAATTTTCAAATGAGAGAATATGGAGTCTTCTATGGCAGTAAGCAAAAGGACTTTCCCTTGGTAGTCAAGTAGATAATTTGACTGAAAAATGTCTGGTCCTTCGTAACTATGAAGTTTTCTTGGTTTTGAATCTGTGCAACAATTAAGTGATGGAAGTGAATTGAAGCATGTTTTAAATGTAGTTCTCTATGTAGCCATACACAATTGTTTCAAAGTAGGCTAAAGGGCCAAACGTTTCTATCTTAACATTTGGATTTTTTTCACTTAAGCAAGGTTAAAATACTCTGCCTAGTAAGTTATTGCATATGTCACTATTTTGACATCTGCTTCTGAAAACTGAGAGTCATGAAAGAGTCATGAAATTTAGCAGATCTTCCTTCTGGAGTACAGTAAGCAGGCTACAAATTGGTTTGTCCGTAAGCACTTCTGCTGAAGTTATTCAGTGTCAAGACTTTTCACAGCCAAAATTCATGTTGAAGAGGGTAGGAACGGCACTGCCATTATCCGTGAGCAATTTTGCCTGTTTCTTCTGAGAAAGTGAGATAAAAAACAAGCACAAAATGCATTCCTTCTTGATAGTTAGCACACTTAAGCTAAGAGGAAATAGTCCTAGATTGATGGAGACTTAATTTCTTGTAAACATTAGCCTCTAAAGAATATAGTTCCTAGTTGAAGTCACATCAGTAAGCATCGCTGATTATGCAAAATATAAAGGTTTTGAAATTGGACCATTTCCTAGCATTTGAAAACAATCTGAAAAGCCTGAAGTTCAGAGCAATGGAAACTCATTCAGGTGGAGGGGATAAAAAAAAAGTCTTACTGACCACAGTAGCTTAAAAACAAGCTAAAGAAAATAACAATTCATATTTTCATTTGAATATTCTCTGTGGTATCCTCTCCTAGGGTTGCTGGAGGTGGGGGGGAAGGAGGATTGTTGGAAAACTTGAGAGCTTGCTCTTACTAAAATAAAAATCCATCATAAAATCATCTTTTTTTAAACTAAAATGAGTGCTGATCTTTGGCTCTGTCAGTAACATTGTTCCAGAAAATCTCCATGACATTTTAATTTTTTATATTAATGTAGACTGAAATTGTAACAAGCAACAAAACTTCTTAGGATAATATTCCCCAGGATGTTCAACCCTAAGATTTTTAGGCAGAACCCACAGTTAAAAGCACTAATTAGTTCTGCCAAAAAACTATCAGTGCCAATGCCTTAATAAACCTAATGATTGCACATATGTATGTGTGGAGGCTCGGAATGCCCCTGTTATATGCCCTCACTTAGGAATATTACTAGTAAAATTGATTCTCAGCAGGAGACTGAGAAAGAAGGGGAGATTATCAAGCAGTGTAAAACAGGAGCTCAGAAAGATGTTGGTTGAGTATGGGAACTAAACAAATACAGAATGAGATCAAAAATGACCTAATTTTCCCAAGTATTTTTGCAGCAGTCAGAGCATGTGAGAGCAACATT